CACAATGGAATACTACGTGGCAATGAGAAAGAATGAAATATGGCCCTTTGTAGCAACGTGGATGGAACTGGAGAGTGTTATGCTAAGTGAAGTAAGCCATACAGAGAAAGACAGATACCATATGTTTTCACTCTTATGTGGATCCTGAGAAACTTAACAGAAACCCATGGGGGAGGGGAAGAAAAAAAAAAAAGAGGTTAGAGTGGAAGAGAGCCAAAGCATAAGAGACTCTTAAAAACTGAGAATAAACTGAGGGTTGATGGGGGGTGGGAGTGAGGGGAGGGTGGGTCATGGGTATTGAGGAAGGTACCTTTTGGGATGAGCACTGGGTGTTGTATGGAAACCAATTTGACAATAAACTTCATATATTGAAAAAAAAATCACAACTAAAATGGAGAGGATTTTGGCAATGCAGAGCAAAAGCTATTTAAAAAGCTGTAAAATTTTGCTCCTGGAAGTTAGGGAATTATGTCGAAAGGAGAACAGGTTAATATTCAGATGTATGTAGTATCATTTCTTACAACAGGAAAAAAGAGGAAATGGGAAGAAATCGGAAATGAAGTTAAATGAAAAAAGAAGAAACAACCAAAAAATATTCATATGTTCGTAACCCTAATGAAGCCCTGTGTTGGTTAGATGTGGCCTGGACATTGTAATTATCATGTGTTGAATACCTGCTTTGTTTCAGATTCTGTGGCAACACATTACATATATTATTAACTTTAGCCTTCCCAGCAGTACTGTGAAGGACATGCTGTTACAAGTGTGGTTTTTATCAAGAAATGTATGTATTTGGTTTTCATCTTGCACAGGGGCTTCTACAACACTTGTAATTTCCTCAGTGAAGAGAGCTGCCAAAGTATTCCTTGTTATGTTAATTAGGTGATCTTTGGCCTCTACTGAAGGATGGGACTGGTGACCTGGAGAACCCACCCTGTGATTTGAATGTTGGAACTCTCAGTCCCACAGCCAGCATCTGGGGAAGGGAGAGGGGCTGGAGGTTGAATTAGTCATAAACGACCAATGGTTTAATCAATTGCCTTGGTAATGAAGTCTCCATAGAAACTCAAAGGATGGGGTTCAGAGAGCTTCTGGGTTGGTGAACACTTGGAGATTTGGGGAGAGTGGCAGCCTGGGAGAGGACATGGGAGCTCCATACCCTTTCCCTGTGTCTTGCCTTGTGCATCTCTGCCATCTGGCTGTTCCTCAGTTATACCCTCTTATAATACACCAGTAATCTAGTAGTAAAATGTTTCTCTGAGTTCTGTGAGCTGCTCTAGTAAATTAATCAAACGTGAGAAGGGGGCCTTGGGAACCTCCAATCCATAGCTGGTCGGTCTGAAGCACAGGTGGTACCTTGTGCTGGTGACTGACATCTGAAGGCAGAGTCAGTCTTGTGGGACTGAGCCCCTATCTGTGGCATCTGACACTGTCTCCAGGTACATAGTGTCAGAATTGAGTTGAATTGTAGGACACCCAGCTGGTGTCTGAGAATTGCTTGGTAGTGTGGGAACCTTCACCCAACAATGGAAATTGAGTGTAGAACCTTTGGACTCTTAATTTATTGATGAGGAAGCTGAGACAGGGTGTGATTCAAATTCCAGTTGGTCTAACTTGGAGTCCAGACACTTAACCCACCATGTTACACCCTTGGTCCCAAACACTGCTTCCACTAGAAGACACTCTTCAGAAGGAAAGGATAGAAAAAGTGAGTATAACTTTCTTTAGTGTAGAAGGGGGACAACTTTCAATAGATTATTAAGAGTGATATATTGTGGGTTTTGTATTTACCAAGAGCTAACTAAATAAGGGTACATTAGGGTAAACCTTAAAATGAGGGATTTAGGGGCATCTGGGTGGCTCAGTTAGTTAAGTGTCTGACTCTGACTGTTGATTTCAACTCAGGTCATGTTCTCATGGTTCTTGAGCCCTTGTTGGGCTCTGTGCTGACAGAGTGGAGCCTGCTTGGGATTCTCTCTCCCCCTCTCTCTGCCCCTCCCCTGCTTGTGTGTGCACACACTCTCTCTAAATAAATATCTTTTAAAAATAATAAAATGAGGGATTTAGGCTGGCTACAGTGAAAAATTTCCTGAATTAACCATTCACATGTGTTCCTGGGGAGCCCTAAAATAAGCTTTCATATTACAAAATAAAAGAGGCTAGATTATTATCTTTCTCATTGTGTTATTAAATAGTTTCTCTCTCTCTCTCTCTCTGTCTCTCTCTTTTTTGGCCTAGAAGCTAGAGGGCAAATTAATTTCTCTTTTGTACCATATAATAGTATAAATGAGGAGGTTGGTCTAAATGAAACATTTTGCTTTCACTTTAACCAATAATAGTTCTCTTTGTTTGCCTACCATATTGGCAGGTGTAAATGTAGAATGTGCATTGTCTTTAGATTGTCCTAAGAGCATCTAGTAAAGTGGTAAGCTCTAAGCTTAGGGACTCTGGAGTGGTGGGACTTCTCCCTTCAGACTGAGGCTCATCTTGTCTTCTGCTGGAAGCCAGAAGGAGATTCAGAAGTCCAAACCAAAGTGATAGAAGGCAGAGCATCTCAAACTTTAAAGGGCATGCAAATCCCCACAGAGCCTTGCTCACCCGGTGTCCTGACTTCTCCCGAGCTGCACTCATAGGGGGGTGGGATTAACATGATTGAAGAAAGTTTGGACTTTGGAATCACACAAATTGATTGGGTTCACACAGTGATTTTGCAGAACCCTGGCCATGCACAATTATCTAATGCTTGTGAGCCTCCATTTTTTCATGTGCTAAATGGAGAAAATACCCAGATTGTGAGGTTGACATATTGCCAAATGGAAGATATGTGAAACTAGTAAATTCAGGGCCTGCCACACCTTAGCACGTGATGAATGTAAGGTCCTACGTAGTCCTGGTACACACAGGACGTGAATGATGTTAACCAAATTCTGTTTTATAGTAGAGGCACATGTACAAAAGGGCAACTCTTTGTGTGTGTGTGTGTGTGTGTGAGCGCGCGCACGTGTGCACGTGTTCAGGCACGCATGTGTGTGCAAGCACAGTTATGTGTTCACAGAGTAAGGAATGAGACACCCTAGAACCTTAGAGGGCAGGCATTTGAGAAGCACTCCTGTGAAGTTTACACAGGTGCACTTCGTCTCTTATGTAGTCTTTCAGATGCTTTGTTTTTCTGCTTTTTAAAACTTTTTTTCTAATTCTTAGCAGACTTAGATAAAAAAAGGCATGTAGAGCTGAAGATGGACCAAGCGTTGCTGCTCATCCATAACGAACTACATGGAACAAACCTGACTGTCTACTGGAATTCTGAACGCTGTTATCATGTAGGTATTATGTTCATGCTCACAGTTTTGTTTGCTTTGGGCTGTTTGATATGATCCTCAGTGCTCTCACAGTTGTTTTCTTGTTAACTTCAGTTCTATAGGTAAGGAAACATACAGGCTGTATACCAGAAGATGTATAATCAGGGAGAATGCCTAGCAGTGAACAATGCCAGTCTCTTAACTTTCCCCCCACCCATCTTTTGAAAACTCAGTTCTCAGTGATGAGAAAAAGGGATAGACCATATTTTATTTTACTCCTCTAACACATAACCCTCTTGTTGGACCAGAGAATAAAGGAGTGGGACACCTGGGTATTCTCCAGGGGCAAAGGTCGTGAGGACAATGGGGAAGCTCAGGTTGAGGCATGGCAGTTATTCCAGGGATCTGCCCTCCTGATGATAAAGGATTTATTTTTATTAAGTTCTTTAGTACAGTTAACATACAGTATTATATTAGTTTCAAGTGTACAATATAGTGATTCAACAGTTCTGTACATTGCTTAGTGCTTATCAAGATCTGTGTATTCTTTTAAAAAAAATTTTTTTAATGTTTATTTATTTTTGAGAGAGAGAGAAGAGAGAAGAGAGAAGTTTTGAGAGACTAGCAGGGAAGGGGCAGACAGAGAAGGAGACAGAGAATCTGAAGCAGGCTCTGCGCTGTCAGTTGAAAGCCTGACATGGGGCTCGAACCCGTGAACCGAGAGATCGTGACCTGAGCTGAAGTTGGACACTCAACTGACTGACCCACCCAGGCGCCCCAAGATCAGTGTACTCTTATCCCTTCACCTATTTCACCCATCACCCACCTCCCCTCTGATAACCATCAGTTTGTTCTCTATGGTTAAGAGTCTGTTTCTTGGTTTGTCAATCTCTCCTTTTTTTTTTTTTTTCAATTGTTGATAAAGGGTTTATTTTATCTCAAGGTATACTTACTAGACCTTGCTGCTTTTTAAGTACAAGACTGTTCTTCAAGGTAAAATAAAATCATCTTCATTTCCAAATTGATCACTTCAGTGTACCACCTTCAGAGGAATTTTAATGTACAGATTTTCCTCCCATGGATTTCATCCCCCTGTAAATTGAAAATACTTTAAGACAAAAATGCATTGAATACACGTAACTTACTGAACAGCATAGTGTAGTCCAGCCTTCCTCACACATGCTCAGAGCACTTACACTAGCCCACAGCTTCTCATTCACTGACCCCCAGGGTTACATGGCTGACTGGGCTTTGTTTTGCTGCTGCTGACTTCCATCATGACAGAGGGTCCTACTGCATAGTGCTAGCCCAGGAAAAGATGAAAATTCAAAATTCCAAGTACAGTTTCTACTGAATGCATATTGCTTTCATACTGTGATAAAGTTGAATAACCATAAATCGAACTACAGTAAGTCAGAGACTGTTTAGGGACCTGTTTACCATAAATAGCTTTTAAAAAACAAACAAACAAACAAAAAAATCCCCAGTGTGCATACCAGCTGAAGAGGTGATGGATGGTCCCCCCTCTGTTTGATTAAACTCACTGAGAGCTCTACAAAGTTATATGAAGCAAAGAAAATGTATAGTGTTAAAAAATATATATAGCAAAGACAAAGGAAAGCTTTATCTGTCTATGTGAAGGACCTAAAAGAAACTTGAAAAAAATATCAATAATAGCTGAATTTCAAAGCCACAAGAATCATAGATAATTCAGAGAATGAGCAAAATGTCTTCTAAACAGACAATAAAGGCCTAAAATTTACAGAAAAGCAATGTGAGGGGGAAAAAAAGAGTGCATTGCCAGGGTATTAGCCATAGGACAACTAAAGCATCTTTAGAATAAAAACAGTAGAATAACTGATACAAAACAGTGATGCTGGTGACAGTAAAGAATCAAAAAACAGAATTAGCTACCTGAGACCAGCTCGGGGAAAAAAACTGCTAATTTATTTACAAGAGCATGGAGATAATTTTGTTTTAGGAAAAAGTGTAAAGGGGTGGTAGAGTTTTCATTGAAACATAGTTGTAGAAAATGTCCCATAATTCCAGAGAAGACTTTATAGTCTGGAAATTGGAAAGACACTTTATGAGCCTTAATGGTTAACCAGAAAATAGAATTGAGACATAACCTGTTTTAAATTTGGAACAGTAATGATAATTTTTAAATCTTTAAGCAAATATAGAAATACATATTCAAAGGAATGCAAATTTTAATAATTTGTTCTATAAGCCAGATAATAAATACCTGGGAATGGTGGGCTTACCAGTTGAAGATATGTCCTCAAGATAAGTTATCTGGCTAAATGAGAATTTCCTTTCCTTAAAGTAGAAACACTTAAGAGACATACACATTAAAAAACACATAAACATTAAAAAAAACGTGTCGACTAGATTTCATAGCTTCAAGACAGCTAAAGATCCCATGTGTCAGCAAGTGATTTGTGTGTGTGTGTGTGCTTTAAAAGAGAACAAAAATGGGAAGAAGGTTAGTATTGTAATGTTAAATATGAGTAATTATTATAGTTGACTTAAAGTAAGGTGTAAATGACAAAAAAAGAAAACAAAAATTGTTTTTTAGCATCATAAACAGTATTCCTCAGCAGATCTGGAGGTGGTGAGAAGGGAGAAGCAGTGAGTGGGAGACAGAAGGCTTTCATTGCAGTGAAGGAATCCAAAGTGGTGATCTGTTACTTTTGACTGTTAATTATTTTCAGACGTAAATTAGTATAAGCAGGGCCATTTAGTTTTCTTTTTTTTCCTTAGGTAGATATGTTCTAAGTATGATAAATATAATAATGTTACTGTATCTTTAAAATATTATTAAAAAAGAAGAATATACAGGGGCGTCTGGGTGGCTCAGTTGGTTCAGCAACCGACTTCAGCTCAGGTCATAATCTCATGGCTTGTGAGTTCAAGCCCTGAATTGGGCTCTGTGGTGACAGCTCAGAGCCTAGAGCCTGCTTTGGATTCTGTGTCTCCCTCTCTCTCTCTCTCTGCCCCTCCCCTGCTCACACTCTGTCTCTCTCTTTCAAAAAATAAATAAACATTAAAAAAAAAAAAGGAACAACATCAGAATCATAGGGGTCCCAGAAGATGAAGAGAGAGAAAAAGGGGTAGAAGGGTTATGTGAGCAAATCATAGCAGAAAACGTTCCTGACTTGGGGAAAGATACAGGCATCAAAACCCAGGAAGCACAGAGGACTCCCATTAGATTTAACAAAAATCAACCATCGACAAGGCATATCATAGTCAAATTCACAAAATACTCAGGCAAGTAGAGAATCATGAAAGCAGCAAGGGAAAAAAAAGTCCTTAACCTACAAGGAAACACAGAAGCAGACCTATTTGCTGCAGACCAGGTTTGCAGCAGACCTATCTACAGAAACTTGGCAGGCCAGAAAGGAGTGGCAGGATATATTCAATGTACTGAATTAGAAAAATATGCAAACAAGAATTCTTTATCCAGCAAGGCTGTCATTAAAAATAGAAGGAGAGATTAAAAGTTTCCCAGACAAACACAAATTAAAGCAGTTTGTTACCACTAAGCCAGCCCTGCAAGAAATTTTAAGGGGGACTCTCTGAGGGGAGAAAAGACAAAAAAAAAAAAAAAAAAAAAAAAAAAAGACCAAAATCAACAAAGACTAGAAAGGACCAGAGAACACCACCAGAAACTCCCAACTCTACAAGAAACATAATGGCAATAAATTCATATTTTTCAGTAGTCACTTTAAATGTCAGTGGACTAAATGCTCTAATCAAAAGACATAGGGTAATAGAATGGATAAGAAAACAAGATCCATCTATATGCTGTTTACAAGAGACCCACTTTAGACCTAAATACACCTAAATACTTCAGATTGAAAGTAAAGGGATGGAGAACCATCTATCATGTTAATGGTCAACAAAAGAAAGCAGGAGTAGCCATACTTACATCAGACAATCTAGACTTTAAAATAAAGACTGTAACAAGAGATGAAGAAGGACATTATATCATAATTAAGGGGTCTATCCATCAGGAAGACTTAACAATTGTAAACATTTATGTGCCAAATGTGGAATCACCCAAATATATAAATCAATTAATCACAGACATAAAGAAACTCATTGATAATAATACCATAATAGTAGGGGACTTCAACACCCTACTCACAGCAATGGACAGATCATCTAAACAGAAAATCAACAAGGAAACAATGGCTTTGAATGACACACTGGACCAGATGGACTTAACAGATATATTCAGAACATTTCATCCTAAAGCAGTGGAATACACATTCTTCTCCAGTGCACATGGAATGTTTTCCAGAATAGGTCATTACTGGGACGTAAATCAGCGCTCAACAAGTACAAAAAGATCGAGATCATACTGTGCATACTTTCAGACCACAACGTTATGAAACTTGAAATCAACCACAAGAAAAAATTTGGAAAGGTAACACATACTTGGAGACTAAAGAAAGTCTTACTAAAGAATGGATGGGCTAACCAAGATGTTAAAGAGGAAATTAAAAAGTACTTGGAAGCCAATGGAAATGATAACACCACAGCCTAAAACCTCTGGGATGCAGAAAAGGCGGTCATAAGAGGAAAGTATATAGCAATCCATGCCTTCCTAAAGAAGGAAGATAGGTCTCAGATACATCAACCTAACCTTACACCTTAAAGAGCTGGAAAAAGAACAGCAAATAAAACCCCAAACCAGCAGCAAACAGGAAATAATAAAGATTAGAGCAGAAATCAATGCTATTGA